TTCATGTTTATGAACTTTATTTAAATAAGCTCCCCAACACAATGGTGATAATCCTCCTTAGGGGACAAACGGTAACACCTGTTGTGTAATTCTTGCTCAGCTAAAAACACCAGAGGAACTGGCTTAAAGATATCCATCCCAGTAAAACCCTTTGGCTTCTGGAATCTGTATGTCATGTTTCCTGTAAGTGGCCTGTATCTGCTCTTGCCTTCATCACTTAAATGAGGTAGAAAACCTTCTGAGTCTAGCAGCAACATCCTGGTACGAAGGTGGTGTGACGGAGGAGTCAGGCTTGTCCTTGTTTTGTGATGATGATACAACTGCTTATAGACAACGCTTTACAGAACCATAATTTGTTTCACACACTGAGTTTAATACTCCCCCTTCTTACACAGCACTACGCTAGGTTGTCATTTGACACAAACGCTTGTAAATTACTATGTTTTATAACTCCATAATTAACGTCCATAAGCTGTACTGTGAAAAAGTAACTCCTCTTAACCAGTGGCATGCTGTCTTTGGATAGATAAAAGAAGTCATGATGTATTAATTTCTGTCAAAATGGGTAGCTTTTTAAAAATAAGAGGTCACTGGCACTCCATTGTAAATGTAATAACAGAACTATAAAGCACGTTTATAAAAAACATAATGAAACACCTTTGGTTTCACAAACACAAAGAAAAAAATATGACTTTAATTCCTGGTAAAAATTAAAACATTGCAATAGAAATATTGAAGGAACCTCCATCTCCTTCAACACCACTTGCCCTTCACCTGGCAGATGAATCTACAGCAATCAAATCAAACTTAATGAATGTTGGCATGACTTTTCCCTGTACATCATATGTCAAGACAGATGGGAGTGCAGAGGTTAAATACCTCTCAGCACTTTCTGCTAGCTTCAGTTTCCTTCATATTCATGCCATACATGTGATAGCTCCTCCCTTCTGCTGGCCGTAATGAATTACTTGGTTACACGTGTACAGAAGAGTACACAATCCCACCCCACCCTACCTCACTTCCTTGCAGGTCACAATAATGTTAAAGACAGACAGTAGAGCTCTTGATTTACCCCAAGCAAGTGCCTTCAAAAAGTGTCACCTTGCCTTTGTGCAACATTTCGGTGTTGGGACCCTTTCTGTTTAACATCTTTATTGATGATCTTGATAAGGACAGAGTATATCATCAGTAAGTTCGCAGATGACACCAAGTTAAGCGGGAGTGTCAATCTGCATGAGGATAGGGAGGCTCTACAGAGAGACCTGGATAGATTGGACCGGTGGTGCAACATCAATGGGATGAGCTTCAACAAGGCCAAGTGCCAGGTCATGCCCTTGGGCCACAACAACCCCATGCATGGCTACAGGCTTGGGGAGGTGGGGCTGGAGCTGTCTGGAAGAGAAGGATCTGGGGGTTCTCATTGACAAGCAGCTGAACATGAGCCGGCAGTGTGCCCAGGTGGCCAAGAAAGCCAACGGCATCCTGGCTTGGATTAGAAATAGTGTGACCAGCAGAAGCAGGGAGGTGATAGTCCCCCTGTGCTCTGCACGGGTGAGGACACACCTGGAGTATTGGGTCCGGTTTGGGCACTTCAACATGAGAGAGATATCGAGGTGCTGGAGCGAGGGCAGAGGAGGACAACGAAGTGGTGAAGGGCCTGGAGAACAAATCCTGTGAGGAGCGATTGAAGGAGCTGTGACTGTTCAGTTTGAGGAAGAGAAGGCTGAGGGGAGACCTCATCACTCTCTACAGCTCCCTGAAAGGACATTGTAGAGAGGTTGGTGCTGGGCTCTTCTCACAGGTAACTGGTGACAGAACAAGAGGGAATGGCTTCAAACTGCAACAAGGGAGGTTCAGACTGGACATTAGGAGAAAATTTTTTCCAGAAGGTCAGACAGTGGAATAGGCTGCCCAGGGAGGGGCTGGAGTCACCATCCCTGGAGGGGTTTAAGGGTCATTTGGATAAGATGTTAGGGGATATGGTGTAGGGGAGAACTTTGTAGAGTAAGGCTGAGGGTTGGACTCGATGATCCCAAGGGTCTTTTCCAACCTGAATGATTCTGTGATTTGGAAATAAGTTACATCTGGCATATATGGAAAAAGGCAAGGGGCACCAAGAGATGAAAATCTACATTACAGTAAAGAATACTCCACACAGAAAGTCTGACTTTGGAATAAGCTAAAGCTATAGCTACAGTGCAAGTCACTAGTATTGCTGGTCTGAAAGGAGCTCAAGACAGGTGCATGTGATGGGGAAAATTCAGGTAAGACAGTCTGCTGCCTGGTGGAACAGGAAAGGTGGCTTGGCAGTAAATGGGAGAAAAAAAATTAGGAATGGCAATGGAATATTCTTGTTATTTGGTGCTGAAGATTTAATGCTTAGCTAGACACACATTTCAAATGAAAAATAAATATTCTGTTGTCTGATTTTAACACGCTCAGCTTCAGAGGAGCCCAGATAACTAATGACATTCTTGGTACTAACCTGGGCAAATTAAACTGGAGCAATTTCACATGATGAATGCGTGTGCTTTCATGTAATTCTGGGTGATAAGAACGGTTCAGGCTTTGCATTCGAGAAGGAGTGACTATTTGGAAGCAAGACTGAGGAAGGGGAAGGCTGTAGGAGCAAGCCTATGTCAAAATACTTGATGATGAATATCAAAAGCTAGCTTTATTTTGTACAGGAAAATACTGATCAGTTAGTTAGCAGGTGGGTTTTCTGTGGATTCTCATCCACTTGCTCACTGAAAATGGAAACATCACATCAGTCTAAGATTTGCTACAACAATTCTTTCATTTTCTCTTTCATAATCACCAGCAACTGATAAAAGAGAATGCTTGAAACTACAGTAATACTATCTAACATTAATGGCTTATCTTTCTCGGGATGTAATATGCATGTGGGTGAGGGAATGCTTTGGTGTGTGAGGAAGGGCAGCATGGGAAGCAACCCCAACTCACAATGTGACCCTCTACTTCTCTGAAGTCAATGGCACTACACCGACCTACTCACCTGAAGGTCTCTCACAGCCTGTTTTAAACAGTCCTAAGCTATTTTGGGTCATCAACACATCTAACATTTCCAAATGACAGTGACTCTGGAAATTGCCTGGACTACAGAGGGTGCTTTACTGGACAAGATACTTTACAAGAAAAAAAGCATACACCACTCTCCAAATTCTGTGTTTTATTATATTTTTTGTCTTGAGACCTCCTTAGACACTCGCCCATATTTACCTTTCTATTTTTTCTGACTATAGAAGTTCAATTTAAAAATGAAAAAAAAAATTTTCCTACCATGTACACTCAGACTTAAACTTCTAAAGTCAAACTACATTTTCCTCAGCCATGTATGAGGACTCAAGGCAAGGATTCTAGAATATGCTCTTCATTACACCTTTGCAATCCTGATGAAATACAGCTTCCTTTACAGCCTATCAGCCCAGGACTTTCATGGGTATATCAGCTTTGTGTGAAGCAGAACGTTTCACTGCGCATTCATAGAGAAGATGCGATGCACATCAACAGTCAACTAACGATTGAGCTGACAAAAGGGATGCTATGGCCAGAAAAGTAATCCCTGTGAAAAAACGTAATACCAGTTTAGCTTATCTTATTCCTTTTCATATCCTACTGTATTCTTCCCCCTCCTACCTATTCCATCTCCCCTCTCTCTGCTGAACAATCCTTAACCTGCATTCTTTGGCAGGATTTACCTACCTACCAACATGCATTTATATAAGCATTTATATACCAACATCCATGCCAAACAGAGCAGTGCATTTTGAGATTTCCCCATTTACTCACAGATCATGAATTTCCACTCTATAGTGAACAGCATTAATCCAAAGCTTGCTATTTTATTTTTATTTCCCAATCTGTAGCCTAAAGATTCCTTAGAATTTTTCTTGAGCGGTTCTCCCCAGATGGACAGCCATCACACACTTCTCCCTTCTAACCGGTGAGGTAGAACATGTTAAAAACCCCACGCAGTGCTCAGAGAGGGACTAAAATCCTGTCTTACGCACTCTTCCAGCCCTCCTCTCACAGTTTGAAACTTTTTGTTCCAATCATTTGAACCCGAGTCCATCAGGGAAGATTTTAGGCAACTTTCAACTGCACACATTGAATTAGCAGCAGACATATCACAGACCTCTAAGTCCACTAGCTCACACGATCAAGCCTGCTGCAAAGCCAAGCTGGCACACTGAGGAAAACTCTGAATTTTACAGAAATCTGCTGTCCAAAGTGTGAGGGGAAAGCACTGTGCTCAGCACAAAAGCCTATACAAGTAGGCAGGTGAAGCATTAAATATCAAATAGTCAGCTAAAGGCAGAACTTTGAGCCCAAAGACCTAAGAAATGCAAGTTTACATTTGTGCAGCTCACTAGAAATGCAGTGGCTACACTGGGAATAAATTAATGTATGCAGGAATTTGTCCAAAAACCCATTAAGGAGGGCACTCCACTACCGAAGCAGAAGTAGTTGGGGCGTAATTCAATGCTTCAGTGGGTGATGAAAGAGACAGATGTCTCCATCTGCAGCTTCCTGCTAAAAAGGTAAAGTCATAGCATGCAAAAATCACACAGAGAAACTCTCTCTAGAAAGTCTGTGGGTGCCAGCCATGTGGGAATCATGGGAAGTTAATCTTTATTGCTTTGTATCTCACTGAGCAAAAGAAGTCACAGATTTTTCAGGAGGTTTTATCCTAGTTTCTAGTTGCTATAACCTCCAGCAAAGTACGACCTAATTCTTGAGCTGGTGCTATGCAACTGCACCATACCCAGGACTCGGGCAGTACCACACCTCCCATGTTTACTTTAAGCATTAGTACAGTGCCAGGCAGAGTGCAACATCTGAGCTTGTAAGGTGCTTCAAAACTGAAGCCTCAAAGAAACCAATGGAGCCAGAATCATTTAATGACTAATGGGGGCACTAATGGGTTGGATCCTACAATGCTCTAACACACACAAACTCATCAAAGAGATTTAATTTACCTTGACCTTGTAGTACTCCTTGACTTCAGGCTGAATGGAATCAAAATCACCACTGATGTAATCAGGCAAGAAGCTGAAAGGAAAGCAATGAGCAGTGAAATGAAAAATTAATCCATTTTACTAGATTTAATATTTATTTTCTCAAGAGCACTAAGGGGTACAAGCATTAATCTCTCAAGGGAATAGAAGTTAGTTAAAAGCATGTTAAAACAAGAATTGATACGAGGTGATACAAAACAAGGTAAGAGATGAACTGTAGAACTGGTAAATGTAGTGTCCCTTCTTTGCTGAGGGAGCTACATGTCACTTAGACACTTATGCATCTTCCTGGGTCAGTAAGGCAAGATTGTATCTGCATGGTTCTAGAAAGACAACTCTCAAATTTCTTTCAGATGTACCATTCAGTCAGCAAAGTATTTGAAAAAGTGTATCTGAGTGCTGCACATCAAGCCTCAGAGGATATTGTTTGTCAGAGGATGATGATGATGCTTCTTGGACAGCTGCTATGCCACAAATGTTCCAAAGATTTGTATTTTAGTTGTTACTGATGTCATCTTGTTTCTGCTCTTCCCCTTGATTATTAAAAATACTCCCCCCAAACTATGGAAGCCAAATGCTCAGTGACTTTTAAGTCATATATTGGATGTACAAAATCCCTATGAACTTGACTTCAAATCCTAACCACCTTCTGTACAGTAATATTGCTGCAAAGCACATGGAAATAACATGATATTTATCTCAACTTGCTTCTTTTCCTTTTTTTAATTGCAGAATGCTTAAAAATATTCACTGTATTCTTATAAAATTCATAATGAAATTTCAACTGTGCTACAGAAAGAACAGTTTAAGAATATTTTTTTGGAAAAAAATCCCACAAAAACATAACAAAACACTTTCCATCTTGCACAGTTCCTGGACTTTTAAGCTGCAGCTAAGAAGACAGGTGAAAGTGCTGTCACTGTTTCAAAAGATAAGGCTGAACTGAGTTTTGAAATTAAAGCTGCGGTTTCAGTGTTTTCTAACAAATTGAATACATAACTCCTCTTCTACAAGGTTACTAAACTTTACAAGAGGTATGAGAGTTTATCAACAAATTAGTTTACAGCTCAAGCTGAGTTACAAGGAACTGGGCAAAGCACGGGGACGTTTTTATTTCACATGATTTCAGAAGAAAGCTGCAGGGTCTACAAACTCCCCACATCAGTAAAACTTAAAAAAATCTCACGTTCTGGTGCCGTTCAAAGATTTCAAAAGAGATGCATGGTCACTGGCCAGCATTTTCTCTGAAAACTGAAAGCTGCTCCAGCAGAAGCTGCTAAGTACAATTGTTGTGAGTTAGTTCACGTGCAACTATGGCATTTCAAATTCATTGCTCTCTGCTATTACTTAGGCTAGTATAAAAGGGTATGTTCTAAAAATAATCTTTCCAAAAGCAAACACTCATGGTGAGGGGAAGGGCAGTCCCTTCTGCATCAGGTTTTATCGGGGACACAGAAACCAACTAGAAGAAATGCAAATGCCTCAGTGCTCTGTTTCTTATGCCCAAGACAGTATCGTTCACAACCAGCAAAAACTAAACAGAAAATTAAATTTGCTCCTTCATTGTGAGACTGACCTTTTCAACATACAGAAAAATACGTTTTCAAAATTTTAATTGCTGCCTTTTTACCTTTCCACAAGTTTCCCAATGAAAACCTGTAGGTATTCTCAATCAATTTGTTATTTTTCTTTCATTTCTTCCTGACTGAAACAAACCCATTAAAAGTAACCTCACTCTAGGCATTACAGTGGTGCCCCCAAGTGCAAGCTTTGGAGGCATCCCAGCAGTTTGGGCAGGAAGAACAACAGCCCGTTGTCACAGAAAGCCAACTTGGTATGACACACACACCCGCTCTGATGAAAGAGCTGATGCCTTAAGGTTGTTTATCTTACTGAAATGTGGTACATAAATCCAAAAGTGTCTTTGTCATTTTTTATCTACAGTAACTACAGACTGCAGTGCTTTTAAATAATCAACCATCTCTCCTGAGTGCTTCAAAAGGCAGAACTAAGAGCAGAATTAGCCAGAAAAGTACCTTCTCAGAATCAAATGCTCCTGCACAGCTTTTGCTCTCATCCAAAGTAAAACCATTTCCATGACAAAAGCTAGCTGAAGTTCTGTCTGAATTTTTACAAGCAAAAGAAACAAGAATCTCAATTGCACCTCCCATGTGCTCCGCCAGGGCTCCTGGCTACACTGCCTGAACGTGTCTCCCCTGCCAGGGAGCGCTACATCTATTTTCAAGACATCCGCTCTAAATAGTTCACTTGTAGCTACCATAAAGCCAGAAGTGACTAACAGAGAATAAGGAATTGCGGCTGGGAACTTCAAAATTTCAAGAAGTCTAAGCCTCACATGAATGAACATGAAGAGAAGAACTCTTTCTTCTTTTCTCCTTCCCTTTCAAAAACACCAGAAACAAGGAAAATGCAGAAAGCCACTCCAGATCAGTTTAAAAATATCCATCACAAGTAAATCTCAACACGCACTGTCTGCCTCACAAACATCATAAAATGTTTCAGCTTTATCTTCAGAAGATGGCTGCTCTTTGTAGCTCATTGACTATGCAAACCAACAATAATGCAAGCCAATTCTCCGACAAGAGTCAGAAGCTGGATTTGACTTGGTCTTTTTGAGTTCTGCAGAGCAAACTGCCTGATCCAGGTGAGCAGAATGGAGTAAAAGCTCTTCTCCAGTTAACACGAGTGAAGAAGAGTCATTGTGTGAAAACCTGTCCTAGACTGACTAACCTTGGAGAAGATTAGCACTAGCTGACAGAGAAAAAGGGGAAATAGTTGAGAGAGAGAGAGATGGAAAAGCCCCTCATACTAAAGTAACTTAATTGGTTTTCACTTGTTTGCTCCGGTAGTTTTGTATTTACTCCTGAGCACATACTGGAGGAGAACAGGCTCTGGGCAATCACATATCAAGCTTACTACTATGTGAGCGGATAAAATTATGTCAGAAAAAAAGTAACAAGAAAGGCCCCTCCATAAAATTTAAAACAACTGCCCTTATTTAAAGTATGGATTAAAATCAGGTATTACATTAGTCTAACCCATGCTCTTCTACCCTCTGACCTCAAATTAATGAATAATTCTTATTCTGTAGCATGACTGTATTGAAGAAGACATATATCTCAGTGACATATATGGCACATATCCTTTAGTGAAGGAAGTTATCTTTTTACCCGTGATGGCAAAAGATGTCTTTAATTCCTTTTCAAAGTGCAATTAAAAATTTTAATTTCTGAACAGTCCAGATGATGCAGTCTACTGCATTTCAGAACCATGTTTTACCAGTCTCATTAGCTATTAATTATCACTTATAATTGTGATCACATAGAAGGTCATGACTAGCTCAGCTGGCTTGATTCTCTGCTGCTTTAAATTGACATTTATCAGGAGTGAGCCAACTCCATAATCCTAAGGGGACCAAAAGTATAAAATTCATGTGAGAACAGCCTAGTCTACCAAGCCTTTTCTAGAGCTGTCAAGCAGCATAACACCAGGCACTGAACAACAAAAATAATCCTCAGAGTCTTCAGGCCAGCCAGAGTTTTTCTTTCCTTTTTTTGGGGTTTGAGGGTGTTTTTTTCTGTTTGACTTTAGGTTGTTACTTTTTGTTGTTGTTGTTGTTTTGGTTTTTATTCTCATCAGGGCATTTTAGAACCATACAGCATCCATCTAAAATGAGTATGGAGTCAGGAGGGACAGGATTGCTTTCAGATAAGGACCTGAAGGCACTTCCATAGCAGACTGCTTATGTTTTGCGCACTAACTCTTTTTTTTTAAAAAAAAACCAGCTTCAATATGAAACTTTTAAAGGTTCAGCTAGCTTACCAAGAAAAAACATCACTATTTCTCAGAAGTTTTGAGATGGATTCCAGCTAGGGATTTATCCAAATTGGATAAAGGCTGCATGTTGACTGAACAGTTTTATGAACTCCCAGGATGCTGCACTGGAGAGCAGGGGAAAAAAAAGGAGATTCCAGCAAGTTTGTCATAGTTTCAAGATACACAGCAGAAGTTTTAGTCACCAGTACCATAAACCAGTAATTGACTCTTACAATAGACACAGATTACAAAATAAATAAAAGCTATTTAACTGAGGTTCTCATGCTAAGTAAGCACAACTGTGCCTTTTGCCTTCAAGAAAGCCATCTTGCACACAGCTTAATTCAAGAAGCAGTTTTATTTTAAAATATTCAACACTAATGAACAGCATGTTAAATTTAAAACATCAGAATACTTGGTTCTTTATTCACTCACTTTAAGAATCCAGTGTGGAATGGTATGCCTTTTTATACAGTTATGAAAAATAAGAAAAACCTCAACACTTCACACTTCAGCTGTTTATTATAAAAAACTGTGCTGCCTCCTTAAATAAATTGCTCTGGCATAACTGTTCAGTTCTATCATTAATTCAAAGTTACAGTTTCCTAGTACTATTGACTTTTCTTGTGATGTAGCTCCTTTAGCACATAATTGCCTGCAATTAACCTTTTTTTAAACAAATGTTAACATCAGAGACATGAACATTTAAAGGCAGTATCTGCAGTACCTTTTGCTTCCTTCAGTTACAACACAGAAAACAATCCCACGCAGACAAGCCGTACATGTCCCAGTGGTATCATTCGAGGGCACAGAGTGGGATCCCTATGCTTTTTTTTTTCACTACTAAAAATAAATTTTGAAACTGATGCCTTTTACCCCAGACTAACAGACACACACAAGGTACTTCCCAGTAGAAAAAATACAGTGAAGATAAAACGCTGCAGACTTAACATGAAGCAGTCACCAAAATCAGCTTTGACTTTCGTAAGCATCTAATAGCATTACTTCAGGATAAATATTAACATCACAGTTTAAGAAGAACCCCTGACAAACAAAAATTAATTCCCCCCAAATCTACATTTGCTAACTGTTAAGATGACCTACAGCTTGCCCTCTGATTGTTGGTCTTGACTAGAAGGATGAGGGAGGGCAAGCTGTTAAGATCAGGAAGGTGTTAAGTCTGTTTAAATCTGTCAA